ATGTCTACCACAGTAGGACATGATCGGAATCTCTATTCTGGTTCTCGATTCTGTTCAAAATGACGCCTGTCAAGCAGCTCGTGTGGTTTGACAGACCTCTTTCTGTCTTGTCCGTTGAGCCCATCGCAGCAAAGTACTACACAAATCAAAGCAACCGACGTCGGCAATGCGTCTCTCGGTGCTCAAGGCGGCCCACAGCGCGACGCTCGACCGGTTGATAGCGACACAGACGGAGCTGCGTCGGCTGCAGCGCGAGATTGCTCTTGCCGAGTGCAAGACGCCGCCGCAAGTGCCCCAGTACAGGTTCGGCTCAAGTGCTGAGGTTACATCCCCGCACGAGGCGTACGCTGCCTTCCAAGAGCGCACGGAAGCAACTGCACGCTTCGCGGCCATGCAAACCGTCGTGGCCCAGCTCCAGCAGACCCAAGCCGCGCTCGAGAAAGACCATGGCGAGTTGAAGATGAAAGTAAACCGACTCTCGGCGGCGCTGGATCGACCGATCGCGTAGTTGCCGGATAGCGAATTGACCATTTTTCGATCTCTATAAGCGCAGCCGACTCGCTCATTCAACAGTACACGGCATGGGTCGTCACTGAAGCTCACTGGCACACCCTGCACACAACTGGTCTTGCGTGAAAGGCATTTCCATTCGTGTGCACAGAGTCTTGCTCGCAAACCAACTGCTTTCCTGACCAGCAGAAGCCGTCGTTCTTGCTACCCGCTCGCCCCACCTCGGCAGTCTGCAACGACCGGGGTACCTGAGATACCCGGCACTATATCTTCCTGGATCGTCAAGGGATGCCGTCCGTATTTATCCTAGTGGAAAGTATTTTGGGACCGCAGCACGTCCTCAGTGTGTTCGTCATTGATGGTCGTTTCAACCAATCAAATCAGCGCTAGCAGCTGATTGGGCAAAACTCACGCGATTCGATCGCGGGAAGAGGCAGTCCTGGAACGTGTTACTAGCAGAATGACCTCGGACCCCACGCCATCGACCGACGCCGTCGCCGCCCTCGAAGCCGAGCTCGCGGCCCTCAAGCTCGCGTACGAGCAGCTCGAGGCCGAGAACGCGCGGCTCAAGGCCATCATTGCGCAGAGCGAGAAGGACAAGACACTGCAGCCCGACGTGGCGACGGACGAGCCCGAGTCCGCAGCGTCGCAACTAAGCAACGCGCTCGGCCGCATCAAGAGCGCCGTGGTGTCCAAGACGCCGGCGGCGTTCCGGCGCAACGAATCTTCGTCGCCGCCTGTCGAGACCGCGGCCGTTGAGCCTGCAGCGCCAGCGCCGACCGCTGAGCCTGTCCGCCGCTCGTCGTTCCTTGGCTACGCTGTCGCGTCCATCAAAGGACGCTTGGGTCTTCCAGGCGCGGCCGCGGCCAACAAGAACGATACGAACGATAGCGCAACCGACGCTGCGGACAGCACGACGGCCGGTGCAAGCGACGTGGCTCGCAGTACGAGTGACGCTGCCGACAAGACGATGGTCGCCGCCGACACCGCAACTATCTCAGCTCACACGGCGACCGACGCTGCCGAAGACGCGACCGAATCGACAAAGAAGAGCACAGAGGACACTGTCGCTAGCTCAGTGGATATCGCCGAACCAACGCTCGACGCTGACAAGAGCGCCGACAATGACCAACCTGCGACCACGTCGGGTGCATCGAGCCAGCTGTAAGTCAGCCGCAGTCGTACGAGCTCGACTGGTTAACCAGCGGTAGACACCGTGCCAACTCACTCGAGCAACTAACAACGACTAATCGAAAAAAATGTGTGTACTTTATTAACAACAGCGAGTCGTTGCCAGGCTGGACACAAACTAGAAGGAATTCAAGTCCCTTGACGAGAGACACAATGTACCCCTTGCCGACGACCAGTGCTGCGCAGCAGCAGCGTCTGAGCCCTTCCGTTGGCAACGACGAAAGCGAGTGGCTTCGCATGAACCATGTCTTTTCGAACGTACGTCGAGGCTTGAGAGCGCGATAACGTGCATACAAGATTCTCGAGCAATGCCATACATTCATACGATCCGAGTACGCCCGATCGCGCAGGTATCTAGCAGCTATTTTGGTGACCAACATTGAAGCTCGCACAGTATCGCCTTGATCATAGTGATTGATGCGTGTAGTCCGTCAAATGTGACACGATGGACGATCAGGCAACCACGCAAAGCCAGGCAGACCGCCATTCAACGTGGAGAGGGCGATCCCACAGCATCGCACAGGATCTCGATAAAGCAACCAGACCAAGCTACGGTACCTTGAATTCGGTGCCCATGGAGTGGCTTTACAAACCTCAAGATGGCAACAACCTTTCTGCAATGTGATACAGCTAGTACTAATGTGTTGATAAACGCGGATAAACGTCATATCTATCCATCAAGAGTCTTCATAGATAGATACGACGTTTATTCACAGGCTCGATGTGATTGTTGGGCATTCACAATGGCGAGCTTGCTCAGGGGGCAAAGGGCGTAATGCCTTCATTACTGCCATGACCTCGGGTGAGGTGAGGCGGGTTGCTTAGTAGGCGTCGAGATCTAGAATGCTAGCTCTACGACGGCCTCGCAAGATACGCCGCTTCGTGAAAAGATCGTTTCGACTTGCTGCGCGCGCAAAACACCCAAAAAGCAGCAGCCATGCGCTCACACACACTCGAGGGTGTCTACATACGTGGCGACCTGGCAACCCAATGCAAGGTTGACTTATATAAGATCTTGTTGCTGAGAGAAAACAGAGAATAGCGAACGCTACTGGGTCGGGCCCGACGTGCCGGTGGCATCTCCAAACCACACGCCGCATTGGAGATGAGCTTGCTCGGACTAGACCCACACAACTCATGGCAAGAATGGACAAGAATGGACAAGCGCTGAAAAGCATGAATGATGGATGTTGGGGTTGTGACGCTGGTAGTGACCAATCCGTGATGAGATTGCAATTTCCGGTCCGAGAAAACCTACAGAACAACCAACGCTATGGCGAGTACGGCGCAGGAGCAACCGCCGCCGACCGAAGCCCGCGACGACGCAACGATGGCGACGGCTTTGCGGGACGTCGTCGAACGAATGTGGGTCCTGCCGCCTGGCTGGCAAGAGCTATTGTATGATGCCTTTGGTGGGCTGCCTCAGCTGCCGTCTGGCTGGCAAGTCAAAGTGAGCCGGGAGCACGGCTTGCCCTACTACGCCAACAAG